TTTTTTCTGTGCACCGGACTTCTGAAAACCTGACATTCTTAGTTTGCAGCGACACAAAACGTTGCAGCCCACCGTTGTCCATTTTATGTTGGTGTTGGTGGAGTTCTAATGGTCCCTGATTAAAAAATATATATATATATATATATATATATATATATATATATATATATATATATATATATATATATATATATATATATATATATATATATATATATATTACCTATATATAACGAATGCAGAAATATATGTATATTTAGTTAATATTAAATATTTTTCACACAAATATTTTCTGAAACATTACTTCTGCCTGTATTTTTAATGGTCAGAGTATCAAATTTGGGCCCCCCCTCTGTCCTGGGCCTGGGACAATTGACCCGTTTGTCCCTCCTGTCAGCAGACGTGCCCCTAGGAGTCCTAATAAAACAGGACCTCTAATTAGTAAACGCATAGAGCTACATTGCACGTGACAAGGTAACTGATCATGCTGTTGGGAAGCTTGTCTTCACTAGGGAGGCCCAAAGACTTTATATTGTGATAGAGGTTCACCGCCTACAAGGACCAAACACAGAGCTGACACTGCTGCTAAAATGGAGGCTGAAGCGAGATAAAAACGAAGCTGATGGTGGAGGAGGGTTGCAGCTTCATATCAGACACACATCTACATTTCTTATAAATGTATACTGGCTATCATACAAATAAATAGTTTTGAAAAATCATACATTGGGATTTCTGGATTTTTTTTTTTTTTTAGATTATTTCTCACAGTGGACATGCACCTACAGTGACAAATGCAGAGCCCTCCATGTTTCTAAGTGGGAGAACTTGTCCAATAGTAGGGTGTTCAATTACTTATTTTCCTCACTGTATAATAGACTTTCTAAACATGAGTCTTGGCGAAACATGTTTCCCAGCATTGATTTGCTAGAGCCTGATAATGTGAGAGGAATACTAAGCCAAACATGACGAGCAGCAAAACTCGTAACATTCTGTCATTAGAGAGAAGAGGGAGGCTGAACAATGACAATCTTTGTGAGGGAAGAAGAAGAGGCTGCTTAAAAGTCTGGAAGGCCCTTAGTATTATGCAGTGGAAAACACTTTGTTCCCTGTTTCTGCACCAAGAACACTGCTAGACATCTCACATCTCCAAAGATTGTTTACTGAAATCATCTTTATTATCTTTAAGTAAAACCTGTCTCAGGAGACTTTTAAATCAGATATTTCTGATAATAATGGAATCTGTTTTAACAAGTCACTAAAATGCTGGCATTGCTTACGGTATGTCTAAATTATGTCGTTCATTTAATTATAATTCAACCAAAAGTTTGGCACCGCATAAGCCACCATTTCAGCTCTCTTTGATCTCATCTCGTTTCATCTAACCTCTAAGCTTTTTAGAGCTATTTAGTTGTAAATGTGCTGCTGTGCATAAATGCATTGTGTTGTGCAATATGACCCAATATCTGCAAAGTTTCTGTTTGGCCTCATTTGGCCTAATAACCCATTTGGCGTTGGTAGTTTGTGATTGAACAAATAAAAGTACTAAGTTACTCTGTTCATTGAATTCAACTTATCCTTGATTAAGACACATAGTTAACACACTGTAAAATCCAATTAGTTAACCTTACTTAAAAAAAGCATGCAAAGCGATTGCACTAAAAAAATTAAGTACAATGGAATAGGCTTTGTGTGCTGTATTAGCTATTCCTTGTTTAGTATAGTTAACTTAATCTTGAGTTGAAGTAACTAAAGAAAATGTGTGCTGTGTACTTGACAGGTTACTTCAGATGTACTCCTTACTTAGTATAAGGTACTCAGGATTACTATTTCAAACAACTGAGTAGTTCCATGTCAACTGTATTTTGTATGTACTCTAAACACAGTTATTTAAGTTGGGCTAACTAATGTGACAATTCCTGCAACTTAGAATTTCTTGTTTTTAGTTACTTAAAAAGCAATTCTGATTTACTTGTTGAAATGATGCAAACCGATTGCCTTGAAAAGACCAAGTACCAGTTACTTATGTACATAAAGTACTTCAAAGTTTCATTTTTATCTTATTCCATTTACAGTAATCAAATGACTTTGATATAGAATCTCAAAAACCATATGCTGACCTATTCCAATCTTTTGTCATATCTTCTCTCCTTGCATGTTTCCTCTCTGCCGGTCTTACTTTTATATTTATATACATATATATATATATATATATATATATATATATATATATATATATATATATATATATATATATATATATATATATATATATATACTATACCTGTGACTCTCCTGGTCTCTTGATCATTCTTCTTTGCTCTATTTTAAGTCTTTTCTTAATTCTCAACCTTCACTTTTTTCCAAAGAAACTAGAAATGTCTGGACTCTTAATGTTTCAATGTATTATCTGTAATGTGGAAGCATTAAGATTTGGAAAATTAACCCACTTACTAAACCCATCTATCATAATCTGAAACCAGAAATGATCGATCACTCGCATCTGTAAGGCAGCAAATTCATTGCTTTCTTTTTTCTTTTTTTTATGCATAATATAAACATATATACTATATATATACTATATTATATGTATTTGGTAAATTAATGAGTAAGGTGCCTTTGGACAAAAATAGGATTAGTTATTCCAAGCCTTGTAATGACGTCTACAGCAGAGAGTCAGTTGGCCCCATTTCCCCCCCTGTAGATCCGGCCCTAATTCTTCAGTTTCCTTCCTTCAATCAAAGGTTATCCAAGTTCCTTAATTTAATACTACACACTGTTGAAATATCTTACATTATTTCATGTTGATCTTCTGCTCTGTTTATCTTAAAAACAGATACATTCTGGAAAAGTTGAAAATGTTTAGGAACGCTGCTGTATAGATAAACAAATGATTTCTGAAACCCGCTACGATATTAAGTGGACCTTAAATACATTCCACCACGGGGTGGAGAAAGGACTGGGATGTTGTTGAGCAGATGTTTCACCCCTCATGATCTCTTTAACGTGTGGGTGGTCTCTGGAGAAGCAGCAGCTTTTCCAGGTGGATTAGCCTGGTGTTTGTTTCCAGATATCTGTGATGCTGAGGGTGAAGAATAGAGCTGTACAGCTTGTCCTGTCCAGCCTCTGGTTCATTCACATCTTATACAGGCAGCACGCAGCACCACCTGTCAGCCTGTTTGAACAAATCAAATCTGATTGCTGTCTTTAAGCCGTTGCTGCAGACTTGCATAGAAACGGCATTTGGTTCTGCAAAGTGTGCACAAAGTATCACTCATAGACAAGAAGAATGCAGATATGTCAGTTTTAGGCATAAGGATTTAAGGTGCGATGTCTCACTCTATTTTTCTTTTATATATATATATATATATATATATATATATATATATATATATATATATATATATATATATATATATATATATATATATATATATATATATATATATATATATATATATATATATATATAGAACAAGGACCAAGCAATCCTTGAAGGAAATGCAGACAGTTATTGGTGAAGAAGGTGGCTGAGAGTGTAGCTGCTGCAGAGTGTGATGAACGCAGCTTTAACCTCACCCTCTTTACCTTTACCTAACCAATGACAATAAGGCGCTATAGTTGTTGCTCAGTTGGGTGTTAAAGTTGGTTTTGAATTGAGCACGACTGGGTTCAGAGGGCTGTATCTGAGCTTATTACTGGAAGGTTTAGTGGAAGGAAAAAATATTGCAGAGAAAATCGTAGAAGAAAAATGAAAGTAAATGATACATTAGGAAACCAAGGTTAAATATTCTGGATGAACAGTGGACAGGCACAGAATGCAGGCTGCTAGAGGTCCAGAGAGAAGCCTCCGGAACTGATCGATTTTCTTGGTTTTGGTTCACTGTTTTATCAAACCCAAATTACTCGCTGGCAAGCTTTATAGAAATGGTTATATTTCTCTGTAACATCTGTTTTATTGTAATGATACAACCAGTACTCAGCTGTACCTTATAGAGTAGAGGTTATAAATTACAGCATTTTGTACAATGACAGTGTCTACCTTCACTTGCGCTGCTTCTCCTGTTAATACGGTAAGCTGTCTGGAGCGTCTGGACTAGGCTACACGTGATACAAATTATCCAATGAGCTGTTCCAGTCTGGGTTGCTGCTGCCGGCTACTTTTTGACACAGCAGGCAAACCTGTGGCAAGCCGGGTGATTGGAAAGAAGGAGAAGACTCTGGAAAAATGGCGATGAACTGACAGAAAAGTGAAATGGCGTGCTAAAAGATGACCCTGCACATTTTGAGTATGTTTGGCTCTAGCTGCTGCTGTGAAGCAGGATTCTCCACCATGAACAAAATGAAAAATATGGATCCAGGCTCAAAATGAGCACCTTGATATGTGCTAGAGAGTGGCTTTATCTCCATTCAAACCCAGTTTTAAAGCCTTGCAGCTCAGCCTAAAGCTCACTGCTCTCATTAAGCCATAAAATATGTGAATCAGGAAACTGTCTATATACTAAACTGAAAGATTGTTGTTCTCTACTTAAAAAAAAAAATTTAGATTTTAAAATGGAATTTTTTTTTTTTTATTCAATGTATAACATGGATGCATAAACACCTCATTTTATTTCAGGGTTAGATTCTGTTTAAATTAACAGATTATACTTAAAAATGTCTCCGGATCTTTACTGGTTGTTGATTTTCTTTATTCTGACCCCGCTGATTTTTAATTGGTTACCCCTGGTTTGGAGAATTAGTGAAGCTTGCGTCAGGTAAGGGAATTAAGACACCAGATTTTAAGTGATCTTCAGATGAGCTGAAGTTCCATAAAACATAATCACCAATATATATATTTATATATATTGATCATCAAAATGGAAATAAATGCTTGATATAAACAAGTTTTATTAATGTATAAATTAAATCACTAAAATAACCGACCATATATGAACCAGATATAATTCACTGAGATGGGTCTGTATGTAAATAATCTGTCACATTTAATCTTAACCCCCTTCTTTGTTCATAAACTTTTCAAAACTTTCTTTATTCACATGTATTTTTCTTTCAAACTGGACAGATTACAATCAAGAATATCAAAAGGAAATGGCTAAAACAGTGAATTTCCCCAAGGAGCACTTAGAAATGCATTGGACCGCACAGTACATTTATCTGTTACAAATCTGCCAGCGCATGTTAGGTATGCAAATATTATAGATTACAGTCAGACGCAGAGGACCCTTTAACATGAACAAAAGGGCTGTGCTATAAACAACTGATCCAAAATGTAGTGTTCCTTTCCCTTTTGCTTTATACATATTAACAAGGTACCATTTGAAAAGGGAAAAGTCTGGTATATTCTCTCCTACGCCACGTTGGATGACTGAAAGCGCTCTACTTCACCATAAATAAAACAGTTGCAAAAATAGACCTCACTTCAAACAGAGCAATAGCAGGAGAGGGGCTCACAGCTGGAGAGGAATGATAAAAAAAAAAAAATAAAATGAACACATTAGGAATGAGAGGAGGTGTGAGCAGGCAGCAGCTGTCAAACAGGCCACCGTAGCAGAATGTCATGAAGAATCATTGGAGGTGGTGCTGGTTTCGCTGGTGGGGGATCCCTCTGAAGGCAAACGCCTCCCTTCATAACGGAGGCAAGGCGATGCACTGAGATTCTTGCTTGCCGGCGATGCAGTAATGCATGGGAGAGGGTGGGGGGGTGAAAAAGTCCATGTTGGATTAGTAGTGTGCGTACATTCACAGATAAATCCCGCTGTACTAAGGCTCAGGAGGTGTAGTGTGTGTCAGTGTGTGGCTGCACGCTGCTGCTCCTCCTGAGTCGTAAATGACTGAAAACGATGCTATTTTTTCTTGGAGTTGACGCTTTTGCAAACCCAGTTCATGCCCTCCTGAGGAGAAGAAGAAGCAGAAGAAGCAGATTTTAATGAGAACATAGGGCTCAAAAATACAACAGCATCTCAATAAAATTGTCAGAAAATTTAGAAACTCTGCCCCTGCTAGGATGAAGGAATCTAGCTTGGAGATGCAATCAAACATATAATGGAAAAGTTGAGTGGAGGAAAAAAATGTGGTAGAAAATAAATGCACCTTTGAGAGGATTGTGAAGCCAAAGTTTAATTAAGTAACTTGTACTCATTGTGGCTTCAGAACAGGTCATCAGCTCTCATCAACCGTACCTCACATATTAAATACCTGATGTTTTGTTTTACTAAGATCCGACAGTACATCATGGTCCAGCTGTATGGCCTCCTGTTTACCTGAATCCCCTCTCCAGTGAGGGCGGAGCAGGACTGGATCTGCCACATCCGATCGCGGATGGTGTGCAGATTGAGTCCTTCTGCGATCTCTGACGCCGGAGCTGCCGTCAGCAGGTCCTGCTTGTTTGCGAAGATCAACACGGGAACACCGCTCAGCTTCTCCTCATCCAGCAGCTCAGCCAGTTCCTGCAACCGACAAGCACATCTGTCCATCAGACTCACAGATCCAGAGAGGGAAAGGGGAGAACCAAGCTGATGAAAAATATCAATTATTTAGTTGGAAATGCATTTTTTAAAAATTTGTACAATTTTTGCAGAAAGTTTTTTTTTCCAGACTTTTTTTTTTAATATATTTTGTGACTTAAAGTGACAAACACAGAGAAGAACAACAAAAAAAGTAACTTGATTTGATTTGTTATTTTTGTTTGTCTCTCCACTATCTTTGGACATCTATATGCAGAATTTTTTTCTCCTTTCTTCTGCTGTGAGAATCATATTTCCCTTTTCTCTACAGACTCCCAATGAAACTTTAGATCTAACCTTTGACTGGGCCCTTCTAACCCAGGAATGTAATTTAATCCAAGCCATTCCATTCTAGCCAAGTCTTAATCCCTCTGCAGCCTCTAACAGTTTTCATCAAGGATTGTCCTCTATTAAGCTCCACCCATCCTTTAATCATCTGTGACCATAAGTGTCTCCAAACAATGATGATGCCACCACCATATTTAACCATCAGGATGTGTTCAGGATGATTTCCAGTGTTTATGTTTATCCACAACTATCATCTCTGGAGGCAACCGCTTTCACTGTAGCGACATTTTTGTAGTAAAACACTTACTCTTTGCATAAATGAGCTTCTTTGTCTTTAAGAGAAACCAACATTTTTATTTATAAAGCTTGAAAATGTGAAGAAAAAAAAACGTCAAGGCGTTTGAGTTCCTTTGGTGTAGACAGAGAATGTTCTGTTTGAACTGGTGCCTTAAGGCAAGCATTACTCGACCTCTTCATAGAGTTTTGCTCCTGAATTTTATTTAATTTGTTGTTTGTTGCCTGATCCCAGAAAAATATCTGTTTGTTTTTCTAATAAAACTAATTCAAACAGATAATAAGAAATAAGGAAAGAGTTTAATACTTTTCACAGCTTGGAATTTAGATCATCAATAACCTGACAGTAGATGCTGGTCTCACTTACCTGACCAGTTTCCTCAAACCTCTTTCTGTCAGCGCTGTCAATGACATATATCTGAAACCAACAAAACACTGTTTTATATCAGTTCCAACAGGTTCACGTTCGCAAATCAACACCACAATGTAATATAGCAACAAGGTAAAGTTCATGAGAAGGAGATAATCTTACCAACACATCAGTGTTTTCAAAGTAGTTCCTCCAGTACGGCCTGATCTTCCGCTGGCCTCCAATGTCCCAGACGTTCAGCTTAAACCCCTGAGATTGGACGCTCTTAATGTTGAATCCCTGCAGGGAGCGGAAAAAATACAGAGCTGAAGCAGATTGGTACTTTAAACGAGACCAGCAGGAAGAGAAGCAGTGTCCTCAGAAGGGGACAGCTGAGAGGTTTGGGTTACCTGCGTAGGGGTGATGTGGCTGATGTCCTCTGAAGCCAGCTGTTTGAGAAGCGTAGTCTTCCCCCCGTTGTCTAAACCCAGCAGCAGTATACGGACCTCCTGGTCTGGGGTGCTTTTTAGCTTACGAAGAATGGACAGCAATCCCTGTAGGAAACAGGGACCAGGTTCATTTGTCAAGGAGGGGGAGACAGATTACAGGAAAAAAAATCCCAGGGTATAGCAAAAGGTAAAGGTTATCCTGGTCTAATCTGTATATTTAAACTTAATGACAGAAATGAAGTGAGGAAAATAATGTTATCCCAAATAAACACTGGTTTAAATGCTGGCTTCTTCAAAAATGACAGAGATCACTTGGCAGGATTAACAAAATGTCTTTAATGCATTTTGGTAAAACTTGAATAACACAGCAGGAAGAGGCTTAAAATAATTAAATTACAAAGAAAAACTTTTCTATGGAGATAAAAAAAAAAACACCTCAATATTATTTGGAGTATTTCTGGTGAGATATTAGGATAATCACAAACATAACCTCATGTTTTGTTACACCAACTGTTGTACCAGCTCTACTACCTACTTAATCTTTACTTGATTTTATTGTTCCTCTATTTTTATTGTTTAATTCATGCAATTGCCTTTGTACTGAATTGTGCTGTACAACTAAAACTGCCTTGCCAAACGGATACACAGAGTTACCCAACATAGAAAAATTAAATTACCAGGTTAAGCTTATTTGTATGGGCCCGTTTAATAGTTGTTTTTTCTTTTTTTAAGTGGTTTTTGTTTGCCTATAGGCCCCATTTATTTTACTAATCCGTGAAGGGCCTGGGGGCCAAGAGGAGTCTCTGTAGAGTCAGTCATCCCTGCATTCACCTGGTCTCCTTACCAACAGGCCATACAAGAGTAAATAAAGTTCAACGTTACTTATTTTTATAACCATTATACAGCTGAATAATTCAGAACTCCGTAGCATGAGGTTGCGATAAAAACAGTTAACTTTCAGCGTGTCTTGAGTCTCTTTCCACGCAGTGCTGCATAAATAACGGTACAGGAACAGGAGCTGCGCTGAGCTAACGAGCTGGGCTAATCTCCCCTGGTAACTGACAGAGCAACAACACCGCAGCACCGGCTGCTTTTTATCCTTAGGATACAAACAGGAGGAGCCGCTAGTTTAGAATTTAACAAAAACGAGGCTTTATTAATGAAAACGAACACACTAGCGGGTCTAATGTTGAGAGTTAATGGCTAATTATTGGGATAAATTAAACTCACCATCTTGTTATCTTCTCTCCTGGAGACGCCGCTAAACGTGACGTCACACGTAAAGTGTACGTCTGGGATGGCGGTGCATTCATAGAACTCGGAAAAAATTACTGCTTGAATTTCAATGGATAGTATTAGTCTTTTGTTTGTTTGTTTGTTTGTTGTTTTGTTTTGTTTGGGTTTTTTTTTTTTTTAAGTTGAAACTACAAAATTCAGAATATTTAATTGGGCTGTTTCATAATTATCAAACCGAAAAGCTACTTTGTTTCCAAGCTCTTTCAAGTCTTTTAATGTATCTGACTTAAGATTTTTCACATAATTTTCTTGCCATTCTTTTTTGTAAAATAGCTGAACATCATTTAGATTAAATTAGTTTTTTTGTCCTGATCTGTTTATTTCTGTTTACTTTTTAGATGAGCTATAGAGAAATTTTTGCTAATGAATTTTGTGAAGGCGTATCAAATTATAATGATATTTGAAGATTATAGTGTTTCTGTTTCCCTATCCTGCTAGACATCATAGAAATTTGCGAAATTTTGGTGACAGATTGGCTTTAGGAAAAGTGATAAAATAGAAAAAAAGAATGTTCAACTTTATAAAGCTAACTGGATGGCAGGCTGAGACACACAGAAAAAAAACAAGCAAAAAAAAACAACTGTCAACACCAAATATCATATACAATTTATTTTTTCTTTACATTGATCTATGCAAATAACAAACTTTAAAATTCTATAATTAGGGAATTTTTTTTACTAGTTGTTTCCTTTCATAACGAATCTAGAACACATCTAAAAAAATTCCAATATGATATATATATATATATATATATATATATATATATATATATATATATATATATATATATATATATATATATATATATATATATATATATATATATATATATATATATATATATGTTAAAATCAGAACAAATAATGTAATACTTCCTATTCCTCCAAAAAGTTAGAGGTCCACTTTGAAATCTTCTCAGTGATTCAGACTTCATTTTATTGTTAATGATAACACTATTTTGTGAAAGAGATATTTTACTCAATATAGTTTTTATGAAAATGTGTTCTGTAAAGCATTATAGACGATGTGCGCTATTTGCTTCCCCATATCTCCATCTTATTTGAAGGCCAAAGAAATTACATTATGAAAAAAGAAAAAAAGCATAAAGGGATATTTAATATTATAGTTGGTGCACATTTTTCATTCCCAAATGTCTTTTTTTCTAACTGAACCTTCTTTCCTTATTTTCACAATGAAGTCTTAATGACAACATTAAGGTAATAGTTAGGAAACTGAAATTCTTGAAAACCTGTTTAACATGTTCCTATGGAAGTGGATTAGGGTCAATTAAAGAATAAAACAAGTTAACTGATTTTTAAATATTATTTCAGTTTAATGTGGGAAAAAAAGTCAGAATTCTGAGGGGAAAAGTCTGAATTCTGAGAAAAAAGTCAGAATTCTAAGATTAAAGTCAGAATTCTGAGATTAAAGTCAGAATTCTCACTTTTTCCCATATTAAACTAAAATATTTAAAAATCCGTTAATTTTTTTTTCCAGTGGCCTTAATCATCTTCCGTATTTTTCTGTAGATTTTAATTAAATTATTTTGCAGGTTTACGTGTAATATGTAATGTTACTTTACCATTCTGTTTTTCTGTCTTTCACTTTAATGTGCCAGGAAACAGCACTTGAATGATATTTGATTTTTACATCATATTTGTTTAAAATCAATAACAAAAAAAAAAAAGACTATTTCCGTTCGGGAGGCGTGTTAAAGTTTTGCCACGTAAATTGGTGACGCATGCGTACAAACGTTTTAAACCATTTCACCTGAACGCAGCACTACGATTCAAAGTATGGAGAACATGTTTGTTTAGCTGCAGGATACATGCTAAATATGCAAAAAGAAAGAAGAAGCAAACGCCACAAAGTTTGATTTATTATAGGCCTGCTCGTGCGGGGATTTTATGAAGTTCTGTTGTTGAAGTGACAGGAGGATCCACGTCACGGAGGTAAATCTCAAGCACATGGTTGAAAACCTGCGGCTGCAGTCTGCTCTTTCTACTTAGGTTTGGTTCTTGCTGGTTTTTAAGGGGTGGGGGGATCATCCTATGCGTTTGATTGGATGACGACGTGCCACGTGCGCGTTGGGTTAGTATGGTATCCCGTGAGCAGACCTGACAGGTCGCCCCGTGTAGCGTTTTGAGGATCCCTCTCAGGTAGGTTGGGTGTTGCTGCTGCTGAGCTGGTAACTCTATACCTGGGTTGCATCACTCTCAGCTAAACCTGACATGTTTGCCTTTTTTTTTTTTTTACTATCCTAACCTTTCTTATGTAGGTAAAACTCACTTAGGCAGAATGATTCAGGTCCAAACCATGGATTGTTATTCAGTCCATGTCATGCACGTATGCTATTGAAATGGTTCTGGCAAACTTATCCAGGTGTGCTTTCACCTGCAGATCCGGTTTGTCAAGCCTGGGGTAATCCTTAGAATAGAGAAGAATCTTGAATGATTTTTAAAATCATTTTTTAACCATAAAATCATTTAAAATTGGTTTTAAAAGTCCATGTGAGATGAATGAATCTTGAAATGAATCTTAAATCCAATCTGATGAATAATAGCAATATGCATTTCACCTGCTGGCCATAGGTCTTGCAGAAGGTTGCATGGTTCTGCTAAAAGATGTCCACTGGAAGGTCTCTCTGAGTTACCTTCTATAATAAGTAGTATTCAGCTTCACTCAGCTTACCCTCAATTGATTGGTTTCCCAATGCCTGCTGGGGAAGACAAATAAGCTACCCCACAGCATGATGCTACCACCACCATGTTTAAGAGTGTGGCTGGTGTTTTTTTTATTTTTCTCCCCACATTTATTACATCCTCTACATCAGGGGTGGGCAATTCCAGTTCCTGGGGGCCGGTATCCTGCATCTTTTAGATGTGCCTTTGGTTCAACACACCTGAATCAAGTACTCAGATAATTGGGAGGACTCTGCAGGACCATGCAGTGTTCCTTGGTCTTCGTCATGCTGTTTAATCCATTCTTACAAATCTCTAGGATCTTTACAGAACATTTATACTGAGATTAAATTGCACAAAGACATTTGATTTCTTATGTATTATTTCTGCATTCCACTTTTAAGTCTTTTTTTTTTTCTAATTTAAACCAATGGGTTGTGCATGACTGGTTGCAACTAAACAAGTTTTTTTTTTTTTTCCCCTTTTTTGCTTTCCAACATTTCAATCTAAATAACTAAAGAATAGCTGGCTGCCAGAACAGGAAGCGTAAAATGACTTACTCAAATAATTGTTGAGGGTCTGGTTTAAAAAGTTTCAATGATTAATTTCATTTTTTGTATGTGCTGTTTCTGGAGCTTTCCCTTTTTGCATCTAAACAGGGCATCATTAAGGTATATTTATGTGTTAAATTGCTCAAATTTTGTCAGATAGAATGACTTTTCACTCTGTGCTATAGAGAAATTTCCCCCTGCTCATCATTCTACCCTTCTGGTTCTTTTTCTCTCTAAAAACTGTTACTATGTGAAGGGTGGGGTACATTTTTGTGCATGCAGGATTGTTCGTGTCCACAGATTTTTAAAATAACATCCTGTACCCTTTAGCTGCAGTAAGCCGTTTTTGTTTTAACGTTAACTCTCACGGATTGAGACACGCTGATCTTTGGCCCTGCGATCTGCGTATCCCACCGGCATCTGCAGCCCTTTCACCTACTTTCTAAGCAAACAGCTTCAGAAATGAACCAGTTCCAGCCAGGCCCGTCCTTCAGACACTAACACTGTATATGTCTTTCTTTTCATTTGAGCACTAAATCTGCTTTCCACCTAAATGTTGAGGTTAAATTTTACATGCAGAGAAGGAGTTTGGATGTTCTGCTCTTTCGTCAGGAGGTTTTGATTCGTCTTGGTGCTTAATAGGAAGCACACAGTATCTGCAGGAATCCAAAACGACTACGCATGGAAGGGTTCAGCAAGAGGTGGTAAATGATTTCAACTGGAAGTCTAATGGGCCTTAAGAAAATTTTGAAAACAGTTTGTTTTTATTCTCCCAGATTAAAACAGCAGCTTTATGTTGCGAAAAAGTTTAGCTCTCCTGAAGAACTCTATTTATATGATATAAATATCTAAGGTTTTTAATGAAAAACTATTCCAATGGTCCTCAGGCGCGGTCTGAAGCTCCTGGTGACCGCCTGCAGGGATAACGAGGACTTTAGGGTGCATCAAGCCTCTCCCTGACTAACGCCATGGCTTTGAGCTCCTTCGACATCGACGCGCCGCGGTGGGATCAGTCCACGTTTATGGGGCGGCTGAAGCACTTCTTCAACATCACCGACTGCAGAACCGCGCTCCTCTCCGACGCACGGCTGGATGAAGCCAAAGCGTTAGTAGAAAGCTGCAGGTGAGGAAATAAATGTACCTACCTCCATCCGTAACACCTGTTAGGGATGTTTTAACCCAGCTGGAGCCGTTCTCTGCAGGGCTGGATCCGTCCCTCCAGGAACCACAGAGGAGCAGCTCCACTATGCAAAGAAGCTATACGATTCAGCCTTCCACCCAGACACAGGAGACCGCATGAACCTCATTGGTCGCATGTCCTTCCAGGTTCCTGGAGGCATGGCCATCACAGGCTTCATGCTGCAGTTCTACAGGTAGCCAGGAGCAGACAGGAGCTCAGCAGGTCCTTCTGCTGTAAAGTGGAGGCTGAAGAGAAACTACTGCTCTGTTTACAGGACTGTTCCTGCTGTGGTGTTTTGGCAGTGGGTCAATCAGTCCTTCAACGCTCTGGTCAACTACACCAACCGCAACGCTGCCTCACCTATCACTCCAAAGTAAGATCTGGTTAATCATCATGAAATCAGTACTCGTAAAAAGTTTTTCTGCAGGAATCTGATCTTATATTTTATGTCAGAAACTCACATTTCAGCCTGAGTCAAAAAAAAAAGATTTTATTATTGATATACAATCTTTTTATCAAGCAACTCTGACCACATTAGTAGGTTCTCCAATTAAAGGCGGAGAACTGGACAAATATCCATTATGGGCTTTTA